GTCTGCCGAATCGGCAAGGTTTGTATTTGAGGAACAACCAACCAAGCTGCCTATAAACCTTTGCCCGTCCCTCGCAGTGTTCGTGCTCAGGGACAACTGTGGATTGTGAAAGGAAAAGCCTCGCGTCTGTGCCTGCGGGAATCCCCACCACCACGCAAGTGCTCGGTTTTTACAACAATCGGATCACGAAGCTGGAGCCCGGGGTGTTTGACGGTCTGACCGAGCTGACTGATCTTGGTCTTGATAGTAACCAGTTTCAGGCTCTTCCCACTGGGGTGTTTGACCTCCTGGGGAATCTGCAGGCGGTGGATTTGAGAAACAACTAGTTAAAGAGCTATTCCAGGGGGCGTGAATTGTGGTCAATCCAGAGTCAATGCTTTGACTTTAGACTCATTGTGTCACTGGCATTCTCGGTGCATCCTCTGTACGCGTTTAGGAATCATTGCTAACATGCCCAAGGTGCTGTTTTTTGTATCGTTTGAGCTTTTACCAATTCCCATAACGAGATTAAAACTCGGGAGAAAAATAGATCGACGAGTAGAGGCTGCCCGAAATTCGGTTTCAGTTTCAGTGCCGAAAGTTGGCAAATTGCCTCTTTCGGCATATTTTCAGTTTCAGCCGAAAGTAATTTTTTTACTTTCGGTCTGGTTTCGGTTTCGGCCGAAACTGATATTGACTTTCGGTCGTCATTCGTCAACCGAAGATCTATTTTTAAAATATAATTCTAGTGCTACGTCTATCACTCTGCCTATCGGCCAGTCAGTTGGCGCTAGGCAATCCTATGCGATAGGCTGCAAACACACACACACGTCAGCAGCAACAGTTTGGGAGCGAGGTTACAGCCGCATCCATGGTCTGCTAATCATAATATAGGTTTTTGGGTCAGAACGCGTTATTTATAAATGTGTCGTAACCCTCCACCACCCGACACGGCCAAACAGTAAAAAATGTGTCACGTTTTCAAAGGACAAATTAATTGACTGCTGTTGATTCTCTCTTCAGCACACAGGTGGGCTAAATAAGTCAATTAATTTGTCCTTTGAAAACGTGACACATGTTTTACTGTTTGGCCGTGTTGGGTGGTGGAGGGTTACGACATATTTATAAATAACGCGATCTGACCCAAAAACCTATATTATGAATAATATTGGTCGCGAAAGCCTATACGTGTTAAGTAGTGTTTAAGTTACACGTAGCAAGATTGTCTTGTTGTCCTCTGTAAAATGATTCCATGTCCATCTGTTCTGCATAGTGTCTCCATATGCGATTGCATTTCTTCATATGTGAACTATCATATAATATAAACTATCAGCCCACACGTCCTTTACAGGTGTCCGTCCGCCAGTCCGCCAGCCATAGCAGGTGGTCCACTCCGATCAAAAACTTCCTCTGCAGCCACATTGGAATGTTACGTTATAAAGTGAAGTTCGGGTTTCCAAAAGCACTTCAACCAGTTGCCGTTCACTTCTTCATTTGCATTGTTTGAGTCTCTTTATAGGTGTCGGTAATACCTCGGGCACTACTGAAACAACTGCAGTTTAATTAACAACATCGTCGTGATTCTTAAACTCATTAAACGGGTGCCCTGAGGTTGCGAGTGATGCAATTGGTCTCGAGTCAATGCGTTGACTTTTTGCGACCATCAGTCGCGCCCCTGGGAATGCTCTTCAGCTGGTTGTACCTCAGATCTAAACGTTGCAAATTTCCCAGACGGTCAAACACTCCCTCGGGAAGGGTCTGCAGCTGGTTTGTAGGCAGAGACAGAACTGTCAGCTGGGACAGACTGTCAAACACCCCAGCGGGTACAAATGGCTTATGATGATGCTAGATACGTGTTAATTCAAAGTGGCCTCTATTCATTTTTAGAGGCATTGGGTGAGTATTTGCCTACAAACTGTTTGCTCAAAGCGAACTCTCACTTTTCTCATGGGAATTTGTGTGTAATTAAACATAATGATTCACAATCGCAGTCCCAACAGCAGAAGCCTCAGTGTCTAGTGTCTCGACAAGTGCTGTCAGATTATCAAACACTCCGGGCTCGAGGTTCGTTATCTCATTGTGGTTCAACCATAGATTCAGTGCGTTGGTGGGGATTCCCGCAGGGACAGACGCGTGTCGTTTGCTCCGGCAGTCCACAGTTGTCCCTGAGCACGAACACTGCGAGGGACGGGCAACGGTTTAGAGGCGGCTCACAACGGCCTTTCCTTGCACGCGAGCGGCGTCACGTGTGTGCCCTAACATTTATCCTGGCAAGGCCAGCTTACTTTTGGTAACCGTTTGATGTTATTTACAAGCGTATTTTTAGGTTTTTTCGGTAAAGTCACGTAGGTAAATTTTAAATTAAAATTAATAAAAGTAAAATAAAAATAAATTTTTAAATCACGACGTTTCGGAGGCAACACAAGCTTCCGTCTTCAGGTGGAACCGTCAGCACGATAGCTGTACAGCTACCATGAGATATAGCTGTACAGCTATCGTGCTGCGACGGTTCCACCTGCAGACGGAAGCTAGTGTTGCCTCCGAAACGTCGTGATTTTCTTTTTTATTTTACTTTTATTAATTTTAATTAAACATTTTTACCTACGTGACTTTACCGAAAAAACCTAAGAATATGAATCCTTGCAGTCACGAAAGCTTCAAATCTAGAATTTACAAGCGTTTTTTTCTCTGATATATCTGTCCCTCTGTATCTCTTCTTTACGCACATCTGTCGCTGTCCCATACTTTCCGTTATAATGACTGTCTAGACTCGATGCGTTGACTCTGTAGCGACCACCAGTCGCGCCCCTGGTAACGCTCCTCAGCTGGTTGCTGCTTAGATCAAATCGCTGCAGATTCCCGAGACGGTCAAACATCCCAGTGGGAAGAGCCTGCAGCTGGTTCCGATTAAGATCCAGACCAGTCAGCTGGGTCAGACTGTCAAACACCCCAGCGGGTACTAATAGCTTATGATGGTGTAGGAGACCTCTTCGTTCAAAATGGATTCTATTCACTTCCAAATACATTAGTTGAGGAGTGACCTCCATACTGTTTCTGAGATGTTTATTTGGTCAAATTGAACTCTATCCACTGTCATGGAAATCATGTTGTTATTGAGCGCTAAATTCGTTCACATGAAGTAATTAACCAGAGCCATTTACATTTTCTTTCATGCAGACATGGGAGTTGACAAACCCTCCATTCCCTATCAGACAAATCTTATCTAAAACAACTTAGATTCACTTTACATTAACCCTAACAGACCTGCTTGCTAAACTGAATTTAATTTACTTTCAGAGATCTGTGAGTGTAAGAGACCTTAAATCACGTTCATAGAGTGAGGTATCAGGAAAATCCACTTAATTTAATAGATAACCGCGTTATTAATTAGTACGTGATCCATTCACATTGATGCATCTCACCGAGACCTCTTACATTCACCCCCGATTCGCTTTCACAGAGATTTATCAACTTAACCAAATTGAATTCACATTCAAAAAGATCTGTTATCTGAAGAAAACACTTTTATCCACATCTGTTATTCGAAAAGATATCTATATACAATCATGAAATCCGCCAACTAAAATTGCCTATATGTAAATGACCAGAGCTATACTTCTTAAAGGCACGAATATTCACCTAAACGCGGTCCAACAAACTATATTATTTTATTTTTTGCGTAATATTAAATAAGTTGTTGTCATTATATGCTACGATTCACTATCGCTCTGGCTATAGCAGGAGCCTCAGTGGCTCGTGTCTCCACCAGTGCCGTCAGGCGGTCAAACACCCCGGGCTCGAGCTTCGTGATCTGATTTCTGGACAAACCCAGCTCTCGCGTAGTGCTGGGGATTCCCGCAGGCACAGACGCGAGGCTTCTGCTATAGCAGTTCACAGTTGTCCCTGAGCACGAACACTGCGAGGACGGGCGATGGTTTAGAGGCGGCACACAACGGCCTCCCCTTGCACGCGAGCAGCGTCACGTGTAGTCAAACATTTACGCTAGTATCCTTTCCCTCAATACATATGTAATGTGAGGGTACACCTGTGTGATTAAGTGGTCACACCTGATTGATAATGATTGACTCTACCGGTCCCAGTAAATAACCAATGGGAAAAGGAGTAGGGGCGTGGCCCTGACGTAATGCGAAGGTTACACCTGGAAGAAGATGATTGGCTCTGCTGGCTTCAGCCACAGCCAATGGGGAGACGAGTTAGGGGCGTGGTCCTTTGACCGTAGGATGGGATCTGGAAGATTCCAGGGAGGTTACCCAGGATTGGCTGAGAGGCACCACGTGACCCAGGGATTAAAAGGGGTGGAGACAAGCAACACGTGGTCAGAGCTGGAACGAACGAAGAGGGGAGCCACGCGGGAGCGCTGGGTTCAGAGCCTGCCACGTGGCAGCGACAGTCATCTCTCTCACTCTCTATCCCTCCCTCTCACGCTGTCTGCCAACAGCGTGAAGGAGCCATAGAGCAGAGGAGCCAGTACGATGAGAGCTGTGGAAGAAAGTTAATAAAGAACACTGATTCCAGAAGTTGCCTCCGCGACCTTTATTACACATATATACATTGTTAACACTGACCGCTTGGGATTTGTGTTTGAATCCGCATCTCCTGTTGCTTCAGCTCCCCACTCCAAGCCCCCCTTCTGCCGAGTCCTATATAACCTCGTGCCATGGCAGATCTCTCGCTGACTTCAGAAGTTTTCCTTGCTGTGGTTGTCCCACCTGATGACGATTGCTTGTGTTGCGCTCGAAACGTCGTGATCTATTATTTTCCTACCTACATGACTTTACCGAAAGAACCAAAGAGTATGGATCCCTGCAGTCACGAAAACTTCAAATCTAAATTGACTTGAAGCTTTCGTGACTGCAGGAATTGATACTCTTTGGGTCTTCCGGTAAAGTCAAGTAGATAGAAAAAAAAATCGCAACGTTTCGATCGCAACACAAGCAATCATCCTCAGATGAAAAATATAGCAAGAGAGCTGTTGAAGCAGGGTGTTATTTAGGCCTGAGATGGGTGCAGCCCAAGGGTAAGTGGGTGGGGTTAGAAAAGGAAGATCGAGGGCACCCCACAGCTATTGGGCTGGTCATTGTATTGGGATCGATTAGCATGTCAATGCAGGGCTTTACACGGGAGATGAGCACCTCTTCACGCTCGTTTGACAGCGACAGCACCGTGACTTGTAAATAATTACAACGATCTTCGCGGGAGCGCCGCGCGTGATTCACTTGGAATCTTAGGTGCAGCCAGGTGATGGTCTCAGCCTGGACCGCAACGACTGTTAAACGAGCATCAAATTACATTTATATTTTACTTAATTTCAGGAATGAGTGCTCACTGCAGGTCGTTTATGAAGGTAGAATATAATGTAGTCGTGGCTGCCTCTAAACCGTCACCTGTCCCTCGCAGTGTTCGTGCTCCGGGACACTTGTGGATTGCCAGGTCAGAAGCCTTGCGTTTGTGCCTACGCCAATCCCCACCACCACGCAGGAGCTGCGTTTGTACAACAATCAGATAAGGAAGCTCGAGCCCGGGTTGTTTGACCATCTGGTGAATCTGCAGAAGCTGGGTGTGCACAACAACCAGCTGAAGAGCGTTCACAGGGGTATGACTGATAGTGGCTACGCACGTTACAGTCCCACAGTTTGTGATGCATCGACTCTACACTGAATGCATCACTAGCATTCTCAGCGCACTCTCTGTATGCGTTTATGAATCACAGCCAACGAGCCGAAGCTGTTTTTTGAACGGCAGTTATTTCAATTTTGTTCGAGGTTTTAGCAACACATATTAGCAGATAAACACTTGGCAATAAAAGAGCAACCACCTGCATTGGCAGATGGTTCAGAAACACGGTGATTATAACAAAGTATAAGACATCGACTGAGAAGTGCGCACAGACGTACTGCGAGTTGCATGCTTGGAATTGCATTGAGAGGAAGGCAGAAGAACACATGGAACAGATAATAAACTATCGCAAATGACATCATACGGATAAAAGGAAGCTGGCTTGGCCTATACAGGGTTAGAAGTGACGGTGTAATATTCCGAGATGGCCAATTGACATTGAAGATGGTCGATAAATATAGTGGAGCCAAGTGAGGGAACGCTTCCGGAAGGACGTACACCATGGAGATGGAATAATAACAGGTGCAAGGAGGATTAATACATTGCATGGTTGTGACTACGGCTTGCAGAGACCTTTATCCAGCAGTGGATTGATCGTACCCGATGATTATGTATGCAAATCTACGTATTGAAAAAACATGCACATCCGTAACTCAGCGAGAGCCTATGGAAATAGACTTCTGTTTTCACTGAGACATGGGAAATACATTCTTAAATGTGAAGTGACATAGCGCTGGCTGCTGGCAGAAAAGGGTACCTGCGGTGTACGACTGTACTCGCGTCAGCAGGCCACAATATATACGAGAGGGGGGCATCTTGGGGAAAGGTCACAGAAGGGGACCATCGGGAAGCCCCGGGAACTCACTTGCAGGTTTCAGAAAGGGGGCGTGGCCAGGGCGGAGCAATCCCACGCTGGGAGTATAAAAGGGGGCCCTGAGCAGGAGCTCGGGGATGTTGCTGGAAGTGGAATCCCCGTCGTGCTGTTCAACATCATCGTCGTCACCAACTCGTAGTCGTCACCATCTCCTCGTCATCGTCTCCGTCTTCTAGTGTGCACCCACGTAGGATGTGGATTATCCCGATTGTGCTTGTTAAATAAAGAAGTGCCTCCAAGTATTACTGTCTCCGATCTGCGTCACTACAAATGTATGATCCAAACTATAATCAAAATATGGAACTAAATATATATAACAGCACAATTTCTAAACAATTAATTTATACCAAAGAGTTATATATGCACTAGGTATTCTAAAATGTTGCGTGAAGAGTGTTTTTCAGGGAAATATTCAGTAAGAGGCAACTCGTGTAAATTTTGGACCAAACGCGACACCGCTCGCATGGCAAGGAGAGGCCGTTGTGAGCCGCCTCTAAAATCGACCGTTCCTCGCAGTGTTCGTGCTCAGGGACAACTGTGGACTGCAATAGCAGAAGCCTCGCGTCTGTGCCTGCGGGAATCCCCAGCACCACGCAGTATCTGGGTTTGTCCAGCAATCAGATCACGAAGCTCGAGCCCGGGGTGTTTGACCACCTAACGGCACTGGTGGAGACGCGAGACACTGAGGCTCCTGCTATAGCCAGAGCGATATTGAATCGTTGCATATAATCAATAAAACATCTTTCATAATTACGCAAAAGATAAAATAATATATTTTTGGACCGCGTTTATGTGAATATTCGTGCATTTAAGAAGTATAGCTCTGATCATTTACATATAGGTAATTTTAGTTGGCGGATTTCATGATTGTATATAAAATTTGATTGAGTTGATATATTTCTGAGAAAGCGTATCGGGGTGAATGTAAGAGGTCTCGGTGAGATGAATCAATGTGAATGGATCATGTACTAATTAATAACGCGGTTATCTATTAAATTAAGTGTATTTTTCTCATACCTCACTCTATGAACGTGATTTAAGGTCTCTTACACTTACAGATCACTGGAAGTAAATTAAATTCTAAAATCTCCCGTCCCTCGCAGTGTTCGTGCTCAGGAACAATTGTGAACTGCAATCGTAGAAACCTCGCGGCTCCAACATCACGCAACGGCTGGATTTGTACACCAATCAGCCTGACTGTACAGGTGGACACACGAGACGCTGATGGCTCCCTATTGGTCAACCATGTTGTGTATGCCTATGATCTACAGTGAGGGAAAAAAGTATTTGATCCCCTGCTGATTTTGTACGTTTGCCGACTGACAAAGAAATGATCAGACTATAATTTTAATGGTAGGTTTATTTGAACAGTGAGAGACAGAATAACAACAAAATCCAGAAAAACGCACGTCAAAAATGTTATAAATTGATTTGCATTTTAATGAGGGAAATAAGTATTTGACCCCTCTGCAAAACATGACTTAGTACTTTGTGGCAAAACCCTTGTTGGCAATCACAGAGGTCAGACGTTTCTTGAAGTTGGCCACCAGGTTTGCACACATCTCAGGAGGGATTTTGTCCCACTCTTCTTTGCAGATCTTCTCCAAGTCATTAAGGTTTCAAGGCTGACGTTTGGCAACTCGAACCTTCAGCTCCCTCCATAGATTGTCTATGGGATTAAGGTCTGGAGACTGGCTAGGCCACTCCAGGACCTTAATGTGCTTCTTCTTGAGCCACTCCTTTGTTGCCTTGGCCGTGTGTTTTGGGTCATTGTCATCCTGGAATACCCATCCACGACCCATTTTCAATGCCCTGGCTGAGGGAAGGAGGTTCTCACCCAAGATTTGACGGTACATGGCCCCGTCTATCGTCTCTTTGATGCGGTGAAGTTGTCCTGTCCCCTTAGCAGAAAAACACCCCCAAAGCATAATGTTTCCACCTCCATGTTTAACGGTGGGGATGGTGTTCTTGGGGTCATAGGCAGCATTCCTCCTCCTCCAAACACGGCGAGTTGAGTTGATGCCAAAGAGCTCCATTTTGGTCTCATCTGACCACAACACTTTCACCCAGTTGTCCTCTGAATCATTCAAATGTTCATTGGCAAACTTCATACGAGCATGTATATGTGCTTTCTTGAGCAGGGGGACTTTGCGGGCGCTGCAGGATTTCAGTCCTTCACGGTGTAGTGTGTTACCAACTGTTTTCTTGGTGACTATGGTTCCAACTGCCTTGAGATCATTGACAAGATCCTCCCGTGTAGTTCTGGGCTGATTCCTCACCGTTCTCATGATCATTGCAACTCCACGAGGTGAGATCTTGCATGGAACCCCAGGCCGAGGGAGATTGATAGTTCTTTTGTGTTTCTTCCATTTGCGAATAATCGCACCAACTATTGTCACCTTCTCATTAAGCTGCTTGGCGATGGTCTTGTAGCCCATTCCAACCTTGTGTAGGTCTACAATCTTGTCCCTGACATCCTTGCAGAGCTCTTTGGTCTTGGCCATGGTGGAGAGTTTGGAATCTGATTGATTGATTGCTTCTGTGAACAGGTGTCTTTTATATAGGTAACAAGCTGAGGTTAGGAGCACTCTCTTTAAGAGTGTGCTCCTAATCTCAGCTCATTACCTGTATAAACGACACGTGGGAGCCAGAAATCTTTCTGATTTAGAGGGGGTCAAATACTTATTTCCCTCATTAAAATGCAAATCAATTTATAACATTTTTGGCATGCGTTTTTCTGGATTTTGTTGTTGTTATTCTGTCTCTCACTATTCAAATAAACCTACCATTAAATTATAGACTGATCATTTCTTTGTCAGTGGGCAAACGTACAACATCAGCAGGGGATCAAATACTTTTTTCCCTCACTGTAGTAATTGCTGCTCACTCATAGGAGGAGTTGGAGGCACTGCTGCTGAATCTGGAGCCTGCCACTAAGAGGTGGGGCCTTACCATCAGCCCCTCAAAACTAAGCAACTGCCTGGGTATTTTGTACCATCCGACACTCCACCCCACAACTCCAAATAGGTGATGGGAGAGAGTGGAGCGTTTCCCATACTTGGGCAGTGTGCTCATGACTGGCTCCGGTTTGACAGCAGAGTTCTCATTCCGAATCATTCGAGCGGCATTATCCTTTTGTAGTGTTGTAAGGACGGACTTCTAAACTTTTTTATGGCACACACTGTTTATTATCTTAATACACAGTCCCTATCACACTAAGGGGTATATTGTCCCCTCACCCATTACCCTCAGAAGGTACAAGCCTCCGGACCTTGCAGGTTATCTAACCTCCCTGCTCTCCCAGCGTCCTCTGGCTGGACCTAGGGGATCTCTCCCCGACCACTGGTTACTCTGAGCCCTAGCCCTAATAAGGGCTGGAGGGCTTGGTCCAGGGTCCTAGACGTCTTCGGCCGACTTGGGTCTTCGTGTAGCAGAACTCCTCTCGCGCTCTCAGCGCTCTGGCTTTTATACCTGTTCGTGGCCGGGTTGTCCAATCCCCGGCCACCTTGTGGGAATCTCTGATTGGTCCTTCCCAATCTGGCTTTGGATCCTACCTCACTCCATTTGACCCTGACCGTTTGATTGAGCGGGAAAACCTTGTTTACGATCTGCTCTCACAGTTTGCGAACAGCGAGTAGTTAACACCACTACACTTTCATCAGTTGCCTAACGCTGTGTAGAAGCTACCTGGTCTCTCACTCCACACGAAGCTTCAGGTCTTCTCGGGCACAGTCATGCCCTCGCTTTTCTATGCATGAGAAATGTGGACCCCCTGATGGAACATCTTCACTGGTTATAAACATTTAGGTTGGCCTGCCTATGATCCATCCTGGGTTTAACTAGGCTGGATTGTGTGAGGAGCTCACACATTGTTGAAAGATCTGGACAAAGTCCCATCGGTGAACTCCTCCAGTAGGCAAGGCTGCATTAGCTGGGTCATGTAGCAAGCATGCCCAGCCACTGCATTCCTAAACAGCCTTGTCCGGCTGGATAGAGGGGGCTAAATGGGTGTGCCACGGGCTAGAGAAGAAATGGAGTGATGTAGTATAAAATGATGTGGAGTTGAGTGGACTTACTGATGACTGGTACCAGCGGTGTCAAGATCTGCCTCTGCAGAGGAGGCTCGTGAAGAATGCTTCTGGGCAGTGGGAGGTAGTCACCCTCCAGCAACAACGAAGGGCAGAGGAGCGATGCTCATGACAACAAGCGGAGTGCCGTGCAGCTAAAACAGCAAGTTGGCACAGTAGGGGTCACAGGTGGTACATCGGCCAGTCATCTCATTCAGTTGACCCGTGGCACCTGGGACTGCCCGTGACCTCCTGTCAGCGGGCGTTCGACGCTTCACGTGGCCTTAACGTGCACATAGCCTGGCACAAGAGCCGTTGTGATATGACCACCACTTAGTGGTGGATGGCGGTTGTTGTTGTGTGTAATGTTGTTGCTTACCCTCACAATGTGCTATATTTGAGTTGTATACAGTACATAGTGTGCTGTATAGTGTGGTGTGTAATATTGTTACATATGTAGTGGTTCAACCTGGAGGCAGTAATTCTTGGAGGAACTTATTTTATTATACTCACAATTTCCCTTCACACACCCTACAGTCGCCTAGGCTACACAAACCCTCGCCTATACACAATACTAGCCCTCTAACACCGATGGCGCTGACCGATATAGCCAACAACTATATAACTGAGCAATATCAAGCGACGACGACTTCGGCGACTAAGACAAGAATGGTGACGACGACGATGGACTTGAGCGGCATGACGGGGATCCCACTCCATACGACAAGCTTGAGGTCCCCTACAGGGGCTCCTGTTATACTGTCAGCATGGCCTGACTCCGCCTCTGGCCACGCCCCCTTTCTAGAACCTACCAGCGGATTCTTGGTGTGCCCCTTCTGTGACTATTCCCCTAGATTAGGGGTCGGCAACCAAAATAACAAGAAGAGCCATTTCTTTCCAATTCGGTACAAAATTCAGTATTTCAAGAGCCGCAATGCATCTGAGTACATACTGTACATACGTACATATCGTCAAGAAGCAGCCCGTAAAGAGCCGCATGCGGCTCCGGAGCCGTAGGTTGCCGACCCCTGCCCTAGATCCCCCTCTGTTGTCTCACCTGGCCAGCTGATGTCAGGGCTGCTGTAAGCTGCAGATCCCCTTCCCTGCCAGCAGCCAGCGCTATGCTGCTGTATTACGTATTCTATGCCAATTGCCACGACACATACCGCCTCCATGTGCAATATCTAAGCTGTAAACAGAACGTAGTGTGATGTATAGTGTGATTTGGAATATTATTACATACACTCACCATGTGCTATATGTGTTGCCTCCGAAACGTCGTGATTTATAATTTTATTTCTATTATTATTTCTATTATTCTAATTATTATTTATTTTTACCTACGTGACTTTACAGAAAAAACCCAAGAGTATGCTATATGTGAGTTGCATACAGTAAATGGATAGGGTATTTTAAGAAATAAAGTATCTGTCGTCAAATAAAGTCACATAGGTGATCAATTGTAGTGAAATAAAAGAAACATGTGTAGTGGCATAGAATAATAGTAATGTAGCAGCATAGCACTAGCTGCTGGCAGAGAAGGGGATCTGCGGCTTCGGCAGCCCTGACG